GTGACGGCTAAAATTCACTGAGTGAAGAGTCAAAAGATTAGAATTCCAGAATGCTAATCTTTTAATTACCTTGAGTTTAACCACGCATTCAACATTCACTAAGTGTTACAGAACAATACACATAGTATTTACACAGTACAAGCAGGAAATGTTTGCTAGACTGAAGCAAAAAGGTCAGAATACAAACATGTATTTTTAATACACTATCAATCATGTCAGTTTCATATGTTTGTTTAAGGTATTTGTCGGAAAAAAAATCATAAAAATTTTCTATTGTATGATTTACTTTTATTACTAAAATTCGTATCAAAAATCCTTAAAACATAAATCCTACAATTTAATTTTAAAAATTGCACGGCTATCACTTTACTTTCTTTATTTTTAGTTGGTTAATAGCTACACCAAAAGTCGTCGATGCGCTTTAAATCGCGTTATTAGATGGTTAACGAACAAGACTTAAATGAGATTAAAAAAGACTTAAACTACGTCACAGAAGTCAGGAAGTTCGAATAGATAAAATTAATAATTCCCAATTTTCTTCTTTATTAGTTTTCATATCCAAATAAAACTTAGTGAATATGTTTTTTATGGTATTATGAACATAATAAGATGATAAGTGAAAAATCGCGAATTTTCCCTTTAAGTTATAATTGTCCGGAAACCAAATGTCTTTGGACAACGCTGACGACGACATGATATCAAGATACGACCGCAAAAAATGAAAAGTACCACTAATCAATTTATATGTTTTATCATTAAATTAACCAATGCATACTTTAGATTTTATAGTATAGAAGTTGAATTTAAAAAAAAGATTTAAACACAATAATAAATCCCTAAGTGTTATTATGGTAAACATTAAATGGTTTTACATTAGAAATTTTTGGGGCCCTTTATAGCTTGCTGTTCGGTGTGAGCCAAGGCTCCGTGTTGAAGGCTGTACCTTGACCTATAATGGTTTACTTTTACAAATTGTGACTTGGATGGAGAGTTGTCTCATTGGCACTCATACCACATCTTCCTATATCTATATATATATATATATAAAAGTCTAAATTGAAAACAACGTTCAAACTTATGATTGCGTTGGATAAAAACCGCAATTTTTATACGTGTGCATGCAAAACAAATTTCTTGGTAGAGTCTGAGTGGTCTAAATACAACACAAACAACATTTTCCAAAAGACCAAAAAAAGTGAAAAAGTATATTTTAACAAAACGCATTTGACTAGCAGGTCGAACAACGGATGTTCTTAAACCCTGCTGACTGCCATGGCGATTGCCAAATAAACAGATCACCAGATGTAATCAAAGCACGAAAGCGCTGTAAAGGCAGTTAATTACAGGTTGTGTGTATTTTAAGTCCAGTTATATCATTATCTTGCATAGTACAGTGTACTTATCAGAGGTGGCTTTCAGTATTTAAGATTTAGAGTTCTCTAATGATATTGAATAAGTTTTATGAATGTCATATTCTGAGCACTATATGAAGGCGATTGTTCTCACTTGTTTATGAACTAGTGCATTATGTCCAGTTTGTACCTTTTTTATCTATGTTTATAGTCAAATTAGTTATCAAAGGTACCAGCATTATAATTCAATACGCCAGATGTGTGTTTCGTCTACATAAGACTCATCAGTGACGTTCAGATCAAAATAGTAACAAAGCCAAACAAGTACAAAGTTGAAGAGCATTGAGGACCCAAAATTCCAAAAAGTTGTGCCAAATACGGCTAAGGAAATCTATTCCTTGGATAAGAAAATCCTTAGTTTTTTCATTGGCAATCATAACACATCTCCTTATTTATATAATGATCTATATTCAACGACCTCAGGTACAAAAAAAATGTATGTAACTAAACTATGATGGGAAACCTTTGACTTCTTTCTTTATATAAACTTTTGATTTGGTACCATAGAACTATGTAGAGTAAATGTACATTGCAACATGTCAACTCTTTCAACTCCAAGCAAAATTATATTTCCAAGCATAAAGTAATTTATGAATGAAATAAAATGCTCCGCTGGGGCGCAGCTTGATACGACCGCAGAGGTCGAACCCTGAACAGTTGGGGCAAGTATGAACACAACATTCAAGCTTGATTCAGCACTGAATTTGGATTGTAATTAAATATTTGACACAGCATAGGTTTCTGACACAGAATGAAAGTGGTCTAAGATACTTAAAAAAATTTAATTTACCTATTCAAACCATATCATTATTATTTGCTTTTATATATAAATCAGAAATAACCAATTTAAAATGGAAAATTTTAAAGAAAAAAAAGGAAAAAGAATCCCCCCCCCCCCAAATTTTTTGAACCCCCTTATGATTCATCACCCCAAAACTCAATCCCAGCCTTCCCTTTGTGGTATGGTACCTTGCAGTACAATTTCAGAGAGATCCATACACTTGAACACATGTTATTGTCTGGAAACTAGAAAAATGCTTGTTTTTTGGCCCCTTTTTGGTCCCAAATTCCTAAACGTTTAGGGCAATTACCCCCAAACTCAAACCCAGCTTTCCCTTTGTGATATGGAACCTTGTAGTACAATTTCATAAAGATCCATACACTTACATACAAGTTATTTCCATGAAACTAGAAAAATGCTTGTTTTTTGCCCCTTTTTGGCCCCTAATTCCTAAAATTTGGAGGCAATTACCCCCAAAATCAATCCCAGCATTCCCTTTGTGATATGGAACCATGTGATACAATGTTAGAGAGATCCATAGACTTACACACAAGTTATTGTCATGAAACTAGAAAAATGCTTGTTTATTGCCCCTTTTGGCCCCTAATTCCTAAAATTTGGAGGCAATTACCCCCAAAATCAATCCCAGCATTCCCTTTGTGGTATGGTACCTTGCAGTACAATTTCAGAGAGATCCATACACTTGAACACAAGTTATTGTCTGGAAACTAGAAAAATGCTTATTTTTGGCCCCTTATTCCTAAACTTTTTGGGCAATTACCCCCAAACTCAATTCCAGCTTTCCCTTTGTGATATGGAACCTTGTAGTACAATTTCATAAAGATCCATACACTTACACACAAGTTATTGCCATGAAACTAGAAATATGCTTGTTTTTTGGCCCCTAATTCCTAAAATTTGGAGGCAATTACCCCCAAATTCAATCCCAGCATTCCCTTTGTGATATGGAACCTTGTGATACAATGTCAGAGAGATCCATAGACTTGCACACAAGTTATTGTCATGAAACTAGAAAAATGCTTGTTTTTTTGCCCCTTTTTGGCCCCTAATTCCTAAAATTTGGAGGCAATTACCCCCAAAAATCAATCCCAGCATTCCCTTTGTGATATGGAACCTTGTGGTACAATGTCAGAGAGATCCATACACTTACACACAAGTTATGTCTGGAAGTTACAAAAATGCTTATTTTTGGCCCCTAATTCCTTAATTGTTGGTACCATAACCCCCAAAATCAATCCCTACTTTCCTTTTGTGGTATTGAACCTTATTTGAAATTTCATTGAGATCCATTCACTTAAACTAAAGTTAGAGTGCGAAAACTAATGTGTCTTCGGACGACGACGACGCCAACGTCATACCAATATACGACCACAAAATTTTTTTTGCGGTCGTATAAAAAGGAGTTCTTAATTAAGAAATAAACTGATTCGCTGAGCGCAGCTGGATACACCCGCAGAGGTACTACCCTGAACAGCTGGGGCAAAAATGGACACAATATTCAAGCTTGAGACAGGTCTGAATTTGGATTGTAATTAAATATTTGACATATTATAGTTTCTGAATAAATGTAGTCAATGAACTTGAAATCGGTTATATGAATTGAATTTATATTCAATTAAAGATTTCTTGCTGTTGTGCAATACACTGTGCTGTTGTGCAATACTTAATAAATCTGTTGCCAGACTATAAACAAATAAAGTTCAATTTCTTCTCAATGTCATATTTGAAATTTATGAAAATCAATAGGGAGATTACATCAATAGCTATAAATAATTCACCAAAGTTTCATGTGAACTGCTTAAAGCAATTTTGAGTTGTTGTCCAAAAACTGGAAAATCCCCCCTTTTTTAATGAATAAAACCCCATAACTCAGAAATGTAAAATCTAAAATTTATAAAATTCTAAAGGGAGCTTACGGATTGATAATTTAGTCTTAGATGCAAGATTTTTTTATCAGTTGTTAGTGGCTTTGAACTAGCTGTCAGTAACTGCGACTACTCTCAGATTTGTACTTAGTGTCTTTTTGTTGTTTGGATGTACAACTACCCGACCACGTCCACTTTGTATTTGTATTTATCCATCTGATGAGTTTAGCCTCTTTCAACTGATTTCTATAGTTCTTTCTTATATTGTACTGTTACACCACTGTCCCAGGTTAGGGGGAGGGTTGGGATCCCGCTAACATGTTTAAGCCCGCCACATTCTGTATGTACATGTATGTGCCTGTCCCAAGTCAGGAGCCTATAAAAGTGTAATTCAGTGGTTGTCGTTTGTTTATGTGTTGCATATTTGTTATATTTGTTCATTTTTTTACATAAAATAGGCCGTTAGATTTCTTGTTTGAATTGTTTTACATTGTCATTTCTGGGCCTTTTATAGCTGACTGTGCAGTATGGGCTTTGCTCATTGTTGAAGGCTGTACTGTGACCTATAGCTGTAAATTTCTGTGTCATTTGGTCTCTTGTGCATGTGTGGAGAGTTGTCTCATTGGCAATCATACCACATCTTCTTTTTTATATTTACATCAACAGATATAAAAAATTCACCAAAGTCAAGGTGAGACAACAAAACTTAGTTGTAAGATCTCTGAAATTTTTTACAGGGTACGAGTTTTTCTCATTGTTGGAGATTGTACGGTGACAGTAACACCTGTAACTGCTTAAACCCATTTCTTATGCACTTTAGTTTGATAAACTCACTGAATATCATACCACATCTCCTTATTTTTATATGCATTACAATTTACATGTGCATGTAATTGTAAATATATATATATCAGAACAAAATTCATTGCGTCACTTTTATTTATGCATCCTTTGGCACAATACAAGTTCTAAATTTACACAACATAAAACAACTACTATATTTATGTTATTTCAGATGAAAGTTTTGTTTCAGTTCCATTCATAGGATTTATTAGAATTTTGTATGTTTTGCCAAGTCCAATTATTCGCTCTATGTGACATAGAGACATAGTTGACTAAACCACCAGGTGTCGAACATTCAAGAATTTTCAGTGTTTCTGTTTTTATTTGATGAAAAGGTTGCCTGAGCTCTAGGAGCTTTAGGTTTTATCACGGGATATTCTGTGCTGTCAATAATAATCCAAGTCGTAGGAAACTTTAATTTGAAGTTGGATGGTGAAAAATACCTGACTAAACCACTAGATGGCCAAGTGTTAGCCTCACACCACTGTTTAGACATAAAAACAATCCATGTATACACAATATTCTTAACACTAGATTCAATCTAGAATCTAGACAGTTCAAAGTTGGTTGTATGATGCCTCAATTTCATCAAAGTCATAAAAAAACTGATTTTCAACTGACACCCTATCAATTTGAAAATATATGTATCTCAAACAATGTGCTGCTGGACCAAGTGTGGTCAAAACAAATAAAAATTTAGTATACAACTCTAAACCGGTATAAAAATGCATGGCTGTGTCAAGTGTCTTCATTTCAAAATTCTCTGCGGAAAACATAGGCCTTGATGGTGTTTGCGTAATTCCATCTGTGAAGCTCAACATTAGCTCGGCAGTTGGTGGTGGACAGTCATAAATCCTTTCTGCAGTATGAATGACTTCTTCAGGAAAACCAACTTTACAATCAAAACCTTCCTCTAGATTTCTACTACAATATTCATCAAGTTTAGTTCTTTTGTTTTCACAGGAAACTGCCCTGATTTTTCTTTTTGCGGACGATTCAGTCTCTTGCTTGGTCCAGGAAAATAGGCTGGGAATTGCAGTAGACTTAAGTCTCTGTATGGTGGGTTTGCGCCCTGAAAAAGGTTATAAAACATTAGTTTTTTATAATTAAATGAACTTCCATTAGCAATGTATACTTTGTACTACCTGGCGAAATATTAACTAGATTTATTCATTACAATCTGGATAAAACTATGTTTGCCTGATTCAATGTATGTTATGTAAATCCAAAGGACAAACAATGAGAGACTTATGCCACAAACGTACATTGTTTGTACCTAAATAACTATAATATAGATGAGAGCATGTCATTGTTTTGTTCCTGTTAACATTGTCATTGATATTTTTCAAGAAAGTCTATGAGGCATAGCTTATGCATTCCTGTCATTACTACATTAGCATAATTACTGCTAAAATAATTCTCAGTATGATATACCTCTTGTAAGAAATCATTATAATTGTAGCAATCACCAAAAAATCTCAAACAGATCACATTGAATCGTAATCCAAAAAATTATGACGTCTTGAATTACCCACCCCCTTTTATTCTAAAACGATAATTGCGGTTGTAAACAGACTTTGGTTTATTCGCATGGAGATTACATATATAACTATATATTTCACAAAGAAAATAGAGTTTTACCATGAATAGTTTCCTGCACGTAGTCTTTTTCAGTAAAACGTGCCTTGCAAACAACAGCTGATTGAGATGGACTCCACGATATCATCGTGTTCTCGTCCAATCTGCGTATGGGCCATGGCGTTTATCCAACTTTTCCTTCTTTTTAAGTCATTTGGAAATGCATGTCCTCCTCTTAAATGAAATCCAGGTACACAACAACAAGTACTTGGCATCGTTAATTAAGAATATAACTGAAATAGTTGCACAGTGCAAAACCGGAAGAAGAGGAACAGGATCCGCTACCACGGCGCCACCTATTCAGGAACGATAATTTGCTACTTTATATAACTGCGAAAATAACGTTAGACGGGTTCACGTGCATAAACAGAAATGCGCTTTAAATTGTATAATATAATTCATGTTCAGTCGACCTTTAATTATTATATCAACGACTGAAATGATTTATAAACATCTAGATTGCAGATAACACTCGAAATTAACCCATATAAGGCACAAAATGTGCACCAGAATTAAGTTACCTTGTTTTGTAACCCCCATTGACCTAATGGTTACATTGGTTACATTGGTTACACTCATACAAACTATCATAAATCATCATATATTCAGAAATTCTCAAATCCTGGTACATCTGTAACCTCCATTGGCCTAATGGTTACATTGGTTACACTGGTTACACACATGCAAGAATCCTTTATGCCATCATGTTACCATGGCAACCCCTTTATTAATCGATGTGAGGTTACATAAGTCAGTCAGGTTACAATGGTTTAGGTGAATTAGGGTTACAATGGTTACATCCATGGGGATTGAGGGTTACAATGGTTACATGCATGGGAAATCAGGTTACAATGGTTACATGCATGGGGAAGTCTAGTTACAATGGTTACATGCATGGAGAATGAGGGTTACAATGGTTACATACATGGAGAATCAGGTTACAATGGTTACATGCATGGGAAAGTCAGGTTACAATGGTTACATACATGGGGATTGCTGGTTACAATGGTTACATGCATGGGAAATCGGGTTACAATGGTTACATACATGGGGATTGCTGGTTACAATGGTTACATGCATGGGAAATCAGGTTACAATGGTTACATGCATGGGAAATCAGGTTACAATGGTTACATGCATGGGAAAGTCAGGTTACAATGGTTACATACATGGAGAATGAGGGTTACAATGATTACATGCATGGGAAATCAGGTTACAATGGTTACATACATGGGGAAGTCAGCTTACAATGGTTACATGCATGGGAAATCAGGTTACAATGGTTACATGCATGGGGAAGTCTGGTTACAGTGGTTACATGCATGGGGAAGTCTGGTTACAGTGGTTACATGCCCGGGGAAGTCTGGTTACAGTGGTTACATGCATGGGGAATGAGGGTTACAATGGTTACATGCATGGGGAATGAGGGTTACAATGGTTACATGCATGGGAAAGTCTAGTTACAGTGGTTACATACATGGGAAGTCTGGTTACAATGGTTACATGCATGGGGAAGTAGGGTTACAATGGTTACATGCATGGAAAGTCAGGGTTACAATGGTTACACTACTTATGACTTTTTCTTTTTAATGGTGGCCATAAAAATTATGTCCACCATGATGGCACTATATGTCCATCATTATACCCCCTGTTGCTTAATTAATACACAAGGTATTAATCAAAAACTAGTCAAGGATAAAGGGAAATCATGACTGCATTAAAGTGTTAAAATTATATAACTTACAGGTCAAGTGTCTCAGGTAAAATATATGTGTTTGTCAAATTTAATTACTAGCTGTGATTATGACAAGATAATTCAAAATTAAAATGAATAATAAAACTAGTTGAACCGGAGACATATAATACAGATCATATGTCCCTGGTTGAACATATTGCTTCAAGTTCATAACATTTTTTTTGAAAAAATTTTCTCATGACTGTTTGTTTTGATGTTATACATTTTAAATAATTCTATCAATTTAAGTTATTTTTACTTGTATTTTTTGACAACTGAAGAATAATGAATATCATGACTTCTAATGAATATAATGCAAACTTTCACAATGCCTGCCTTTTTCTATTGAAAAGGTGTTTCTCAAATTAATTTTCTAAAATCATATTGTTTATACTTAGAGAGACTGATCTGCATTCAACATTGCTTAAAATTTAGGCAATTCATTATTTCTCTATTGAATAAATATATTCAAAATATATTTATAACAGCAAAATTTGATAATATTTTTATTGTCATATAAACATGATAAACATATTATAATTAGTTTGTGACAAAAAAAAACAAAAACAACAAACATTATAATGCAAAGAAATAACAATTTTAAACACATGGAAAAAAATTATTAGTTTTCTACCCTCAGTTCTATTGACTATTTTATAAAGGAGCCAATATTTTAAACATTTTCCATGTTATAGAGGTTAAGCATTTCTTTTACTTTTTGTTCTTGGGTAACATGGGTAAGAGACATAATAATGAGAAGGTAAACAATTTTTAAATAGATTATATCTAGGTTGTTTTGTTAATTTTACAATCAAGGAGGAAGTGTTCTTCATCGTCCAGCAAGTGGCACAGTTAACATATTCTATCCTTTTTAGGAATTTTATATCATCCACTATTTTCTATTTCTAAATTATGAAAAACTAACTCTTTACTTACTGAAGCATTTGAGTTTACAGTTAAGTTTTCAATCAAAAGTTTTTATTCTATTTTCAAAAATATCTTTATATTTTCCTGTAAATTCATGTTTAATCAAGGGCTTTAAAGAGTCTAATTCATTAAAGTTCCTGCAATTATTAACTTTATCTAAAAGGCCTGGGTTGAGTGAAATATTCTCGGCAAATGTATACCAAGTATATGTATGATGCCATTCCAGCAGTTTCGACAATATAATACACAGAACAAAAAGCGATTTAATTAATAGACCATAAAAATGTCACAATCTATAGAAGTGTACTTTATTTTTTCTGGAGACAAATTTTGCTTGTTAACTGACAGAAATTAGCCAAACTGAAGATAACATATTTGATAAGTTTACAATTGTTTCAAAAAGCAAGACAATTTTCTTTATATAATTTCTTTTCATAAGATTCACTTTATTCTGAGAGATAAGAACATTTTTCATTAAGATTTGAATTTTTAATGAGCATTTATCAAAATTTGATATTTAACTGAATATCTCAATATATTTAGATATGTGCATCTGGTTGGTTCTCGAACACCCAGACAAAGTCCTTGTAATATTCCTTATTATTCCCAAAACTCAAACTGAATAATATACAATCTTTGTTGATATCTGGAAGTATCTTATTAATCAAATTTGTCTAAAAATTTAAAATAATGTAACGCAATTAAATCTTTAACAAAAATTGAGGAATATTTTGTTTATTTAGTTTATTTCTTATAACAGTATAATCATGATAATAGTTTAATATTGCATTAGTTTTTTTTTATCACTTACTTTATGCCTTATTTGTTGTTTTTATTTTGACTTGGACATCGTAACTTTTAGGACTATCCCAAGACACCCAATTTCGGACATATTATTTTAAAAGACTTTCGTTAGCCTGACTTAAGACTAAGACGTGTCCTAAGACCATTACATGTATACCATGTATACAGGTTGAACATATATATGAAACCACGGCATGTTCTAAGTTTTTTCTTTTATAAGTCTTGTATTTTGTATTAAAAAAGTCGAAAATTGGGATACAAACAAACGAAAATATAAGGAATTAAGATTGTGATGTGGATACATGTATTGTCTTTTGATCAGGCGGTTTTTATCATAAAAAGCTAAGTTTCATAAAATTCCACATAGGTTTGACAAAATTATTGATCTTAGACTTCTCATTATGTTAACTGTAAAAAAACAGTGTGTCAAGTGATCAGTAAAATACGGACAACTGAAAAATTGTGAAAAATCCAGTCTTAAAAATTTAACAATATATTGACTTTAGTGTATAAAGTTTATCCCATTGGAACATGATTGGTAAAAGGAAGACTCGGGGGAAAAAGAATCACACATTTGGTAGGAAAAAAAGTCTCACATCCTGCATGTCCTGATAAAAGTATTGAAAAAAGTTACAAATCTGGTAAGAAATAATGACTATTCTTGAACAAATGTTTAAAGAATATCATTTCTTTTCTTTTCTTTTAAAGTTATACAGAATTCAAATTTTTATAGAGGCCAGTGCATAGTATGTTTATTTAAATTTGAAGAAAAATTCAATGGTGAAAAAAAAGTTGCTATATATCTGTAGGGATTCACCTTAAATGGTAAAAAATCATATATCAATAATATAAACCTATTTTTTTCAAGGTTTTAAGTGTTATAAGTAAGTAAGTAAATTGTTTGTTATATATATAGTGACGTGAAAATCAACATGAATATATAAATTTGTACAGAATATAATTACATACATAATACACCCGACCCAATGGACCAATAAGTCATCTTTTACTTTCAATTCAATATAAATGTTCCAATATCACGTGTTAATTGTCAATTTAAATTTAAATTCGAGAGAAGGATAATTATATTTTAAGAATTAGCGTTTGTAAAAGTTCAGATATTATTCTTCTAAAGTTTGTGAAAAAGTTTAAGAATGTTAACTAGAGTAAACTGTTTGTTTTCAACGGAAAAGGGATGCTGCTAAGTATTTAGCTATTTTCCTTGGACGGTTCACCATTAGAAATGTTAATTTTCCCTGGTTATCTAGCTGCATATAGTCAGGCACCATTAATATCTCGCTAAAAACAGTGATTATATATATATATGTTATATACAGAACAAAAAGCGATGGATAGGAAAAGTAGATGGTAAATTGAAGCCATTTAAGTAGTTAATTGCTGTCTGTTGAATTGTTTGTAAAAACTTGATATTTTCATGAACCACATTTTGTTTACAATCTTAAAAAATTTATTCAATTACAATAAACACAAACATTGAAACACTACGCCCATGTATTCTAACATAAATAACGATGTTGGAACATTCTAAAACACTATCCAGTTGATATTAACTCCATACAATTTCAAATAATTTCCTAACACTTTTTCCATACATTAGAGATCATTGTCATTTTGCTAACCATAGTTTCTTTTATTACCTATTCTGACATCAGACTCTGACTTCTCCTTAACTGAGTTTTACTGTTTGTATTGCTGTGTGTTTGTTTACTCTATATTGGCTAGAGGTATAGGTGGAGGGTTGAGGTCTCACAAAACATGTTTA